TTTGCGAATGGAGCTGTTCGTGACCCGAATTGGTCGTGAACAGAAGCGTTCGTGACCCGAGATACCACTGTACTAATTCATGATCTCACTAATTTGCAATTTGAGGACATTTTAAAAATCTTACTGTTTCAGTAACATACATTATTAGCCAGATAACTTCATAGTATTATTGTTACTGATACAAAAATGGTAGTTTGTGGTTTACCGGACACAAGACATTTTTCACTCTCTTCTTCAGCAGTTTCACAAAATAGCAGCCTAGTCATACAACAAATTAATTTCAATGTGAAGTACTGTTTGCGTTATAGGAGTAAAAAGAAATGCATCTATAAATCAATGAACATTAAGAGGAGACAGCTATACTACATTATGCTTGTTATACATAGTAAGAAACTGTGGATCTCCTGTGCAAGCATACCATGCCAGTTCTCCACTATTCTGGAGAATACCACCTGGATAACTCTTATCAATAATATTTTACACACATTTTACATTTTCAGGAATACTGGAGTTTTGTGAGAGTGTGCATTATGAACTCACCTTTGACTGTATTGTCCTTAGGTTAACTACATGCATATCACATGGCATAGATGAAATTAAAGGAGAAAAAGTATTCAAAAGTGAAGGGATAACAGTGCCTGCAGAAGTAATCATTGGAATCACAGGATGATTTATAAAAGATGATGTTATGTGGCTAAGTATAGAAGGATAGCTGACAGGTGACTTTTCTTCTTTCTATTAAAAAGCAAAAAGAAAATAGTTAGCTATTTACCCATGTGGTACACTGGACATTTTGGATCTATTCATACTGATACATGAGCCTAGGAATAAAACTAAATGTGTGCAAATTGTTATGTGTGCCCAGATGTCACAGTAATATCTGTTTATATATCTACTACTTGGATCCTGGGTGAAGTGTTACAGTACTTAAATTTTCCCCTTATCAACTTGCTTTCTGCCCCTCTCAGACTTAGTTATGCTTATATAAGAATAATGGCAGCAAAAATTCTGACTGTAATTTAAAGTCAGCAGTACCTAAAGAATGCAGCACTAGTACTTTATTCTGCTTTCTTCTTTTACTACAGCACATTTAGGGCATTAATTGTTGGCATATTTACCCCTGCTCTGGTGTCTATATTATGCTGATCTCTAGAACCTGGGCACTAAGCATTGGGTCAAACATACTCAGAATTTACACTAATTAATTAACTTAGCTAATTAATTATGTGCCAAGGTAAAAGTTCATAATCTCTGTCATAACTGCATCTTCAGACAGTTGCTGCAGGTTGAGGACTTTTTTTTTCTCTTTACGGTAGCAAAATGAAATACTTTTCCTTGATTTATAACATCTATCTTTGGTTCTTTAAAAAATGGGATATAATACTTTGCCTATATCTGATAAATTTCTTTGGCATTTACAATATTGTATTCAGTGTTAATAAATCTTTTAAATATAAATTCCATTACTTCAGACTTTACTTGTATTTTAATATAGCAACCAACCACTAATCCAAATATCAGGGTAATATTTATGTTCCCTAAAACTTTATTAGCTATGACTAGCAGATTTAATACTGTTTGCAAGCTTTCTGAAAAAAGATATTAACTTTCTACCCAAGTTACTTCTCATTCTATACTGTAATGGATAAGAGAAAATATGCTGCTAAAATATTTTAATAAGACTTATCATACCATTTTCTTAGTTAGATGTACTGCTGCTGCTCTCTTTTTCAACAGACTAACAACTGGTTCTTAATATTAAAAGAAAACAAACAAAAAACCCAGTTCCAGTTCCATAACTGTTCACTGCTTCTATTTCCAACTCCTTCTACTAGAGATATGCAAAACACAACACTTAAGGGATGGAACATTATGGGAAAGATCAAAGCATCCCTTTATTTTATTATTTTATTTTTATTTTCTTTCTGGATCACCACATCTGAGTGTTCCAGAGCTGGTCCAGTAATTTTGAAAAAGTAAATATTTCAGAACAGGAAGTGGTTTGCATGTTTCAGATATTGTTTGGCCCCCAAATAAGGCTGTTTCAGTGCTTGACCATAACACCATAATCCCCTTTCTATTCTGCATGATTCACTTCCAGAAAATGTCTAGACCAATCCCAGAACAGTGAACACCAGTGAACTTCTGGTGTTCCCTAGAATGATATGTTTTGCATATACCTACCTGCTGTCTTTCTACAGACTGAAAGTAGTATAAATATACAAAACTAAGGAATTACTAAGGCACCATATGCCCTCCACCACTTCAAATACTTGCAATAATATTCCATGCCTACAGCTCCTCCTGTCTATAAAAACAATTCTCCCCAAACACAGTCACTGGGAGAAGTACGCTTGCTAGTGCTGTACCTCAGCCTTGGTTTATTGCTTGCCTAACAAGCCAGAATAAGTCAGGAATAAACTCTGGCTAGACCTAATTTGCATAAAGTTCAACAAGTGAGGGATCCTGGTTCAGATTTAATACTAAACAAACCATGAACAGAGGTTTTTTTGTTTGTTTAGCCACTTCTGATGACAACAGAAGTCAAGAAGAAGCAAATGGACAGTGTGCAGTAGCTTGCTTATGTACACTTGCTTGCTTACTTAATCCTAATAAGCAGGAATTCAAAAGAATGGTTAATGAGACATGTGAATCAGGTCAATTCCTCACTATAGGTATCAGAAACATTGTCATTTCATACATCTGATAACATGGTCTCTATCTCATAACATTTGTGCCAAAACTTAAATCTGGGCTAGCACAGAACACTAGTATTTCTGCTGCAGCAAAATAACAGCACTATATCCCTGGAATCTACATTGTGATTGTAAATATCACAGTGGAACAATACTGAATTATTTCTTAACTAAGTTACTTACAATAGTCATAATACATTCCATTTAGCAGATAGAGAAAACATAGAATATAAAGGTTGAGAAGGACTTTAAAAATCATTTAGTCCGACCCTTACCCTATGTATCAATCTACTATTACAGCACCTCTGAGAGATGGCCATCCTGCTCCTTTTAAACACTTGTAGTGAAGGAAAGCCCATCATTTCCCAAGATGTTGAACAGTCTAACCATTCAGATTTTTTTCCTGATGTCGAATCAAAATATACTTCATTGTAATTTAAATCCACTGATTCTTGCCCTGTCTTTTGGAACAGCTCTGAACAATTCTACCCTGCCTTCTACATAACAGAACTTCAAATACTTGAACATAGCTATCATGGTTCCCTAAGGCTGCCCTCCTATGGACATCCTCCAGTTTAACTTTCCTAAAATGTGATGCCCAGAACATAATATTCTAGGTGAAATCTGATCAACACATCTAAGAGAGGAAGTACTGTTGGCTCAGGTTCAGCTTGTGATCCATCAGGACATCCAAATCCTTTTCACATCAATTCAAGTTGAGTATGGTCCCTTCTGCAAAGCTATAATTGTACTGCTGATTTTTCCAACCCAAGTATAAGACATTGCCATCTCTACTATAATTTAGTGGGAGACTTTATTGAATGCTTGCTTAAGTCAAAGTATAGTACATCCACCATATTCCCATCGTCAACTAAACTGGTCACTGTATCAAAAAAAGAGATCAGGTTGGTTGGCATAATTTATTCCAGATAAACCTATGCTGACTCCTGCCAACCAGTGAGTTATTTTCTAAATACTCAGAAACTGAACTGCTTAATAAACTGTTCCAGTTTTGTCCAATATCAAAACAGTCTGTAGTTATCCAGGTCATCTTTTTCCCCCTTTTTGAAGAGAGGAACATTAGGTCTTCTCCAATTCTCTAACACGCGCCCATATTCCACAGCATCTCAAAGGTCGCTGAAAGAGGCTCTAAAATGAACTCCACAAGCTTCTTCAAGATTTTTTTCTTTTAACAAAAGCCCAAATTTCTTTTGCATTTTAGCCTAGCCTTCTTTCTGCAGATATTGTTTCCTTGTATAACTCCTGGGTGATTATCTCTATCTTCTGTTTTCTAAAAATTTCCTCAGTCAAAAGCTCCCTATTGATTTACATTGGTTTCCTAAGCCGTCCTTTTTCCCCCCTCACTGAAATGGTGTATATCTGTATCTCTAGCATCTTATTTTTAAGAAGTTCCCATCTTTCCTATGTTCCCTTTGGCCTGAGGATTTCTGTCCATGAAAACCTGCCTGACATATCTCTGGGTTTGCTGAAATACGTTCCCTTGAAATATAACGTGTACTACTCCAATTTTTCCTTTTGCAGATGACATGGTTACTTCCTCCCAAAGTTGCTACTGATTTTATCTCTTCAACCAGCTGTTTCATATCATTAAAATCAGTTCTAGGAGTCTATTGCCTCTTTTTCAATCTTCTGGAAAGTTAAACAATTGGCAAGACCATAGAGGAATTTTTGGGACCTTGCAGTCTTGCCCAAGTTGGCTTTCTTACAGATGTATAGGCAGTTAAAGTGTCCCATTATTACTATGCTTCACTTCCCTGAAAGTTCTGTAATCTGGTTCAAGAGGGCATTATCCAGGTCTTCTACCTAACTTGATAGCCTATACCACCTCTGCAATATCTCTGTTGTTTCCACTCCATTATACAGGTAGTCCTCACTTAACGACCCTAATTGGGACTGGAATTTTCATCATTAAATGAAGTGGTCATTAGGCAAAACATCACGTGACTGCACCACTTAGTGACAGCAGTTCCAGCTGCAGTCGTCCCAGGACCACACTGCTGTTAGGTAAGGACTTCACGCTTCTTCTGCCCTGCCACATTTGTCTCTGCTTCAACTCCACCCACCTGCCTCTTTTGGCTGCCCTGCACTCACCCCCAGCTGATCTTTGCCGTCTTCTTCCTCCTGCTGCTGAAGAGGTACACCTTTTGCAAGGCCTTTGAGAGGCCTCTGTGACCCCCCCCATCTCTACAACACAAATAGAAAAGGCAGAGACAGAGGCAGGATGGGGAAAGGGGTGGGGAGCAGCCCTGTAATGAGCCAGGCAGCAGCGTCTGGAGAGGTGAGGGGCCTGCCCAACCCACCTACCTACCTTTCTCCCTCCCTCCCTCCACCTTTTCCACCTAGATGCGGGAGGATTTGTGTTGGTAAAGAAGGAAGTCAGTGATGAATACAAAGTTTTGTTTACAAGAAACACGTTATTTCATTAAGAACAGTCCTCTCTGCTGCAGGCCCGTCAGGAGCCCGGTGGCTAGAGAGCAGTGGTGGCGAGGGGCGGAGGCAAACGTGCATGCATGACCCTTGGCTGGCAGTGGGCTAAGACTGCTGAAGTGGGGTCTGCAGCAGGGATGTGATGGAATGGAATTATGAAGGCCACAATCAGGGAGGCAAGCATCCTCTTTCGTCTCCAGAAGGGTGAGGAAG